GAATGGATGGTAAATAAAGAATGCTGGAAATAACAGCATCTCCATTAGCCTGTATGCTCTGCAGATGCTGCCTTCTTCATGTCGTGAATTGCAGCTGATGTTTTAATATGGCAATTGGCAATTTGACTTATACAACATTCACAAGTTGTACATTTGACTCATACAATAACCCACCTTCGAGTGATGCTCTAGTTTCTTCATGTTTTGTGTTTTTTTCCTCTTGCTTGCGCCGGACTGAAACTGTCTTTTCACCGACATCTCTTCCCCTGCACTAGTGGCCGTATCAGAGCTGTGATTGGTCAGATGTCGATTCATTGCAACGTTGTCGGGTTAAAGACGTGCTCCCCTTGTCACCTCTCACTCTCGCGTGTCAGCGGGGGGTGCGCAGAGAACTGAGTGGAGAACTGTGCACAGCAGCTGAGGCCCTCTGGGCGGGGCCCCCTGCACATGGCGGGGCCCATACAGCCTGTGTGATTGGCCTGTAGGGAGGGGCGGCCCTGATTTCACTCCTCCAGGAGAGAGACTGCGAAAAGCCCCTCTATGTAGCCCCTCACAGAACACCAAAGGACAGACTACAGACTTCCAGCATATCTCCATAACCTTGCACACCGTGGTGCTTTACCGTCCGCCCATCAGTATCCATATTCGGCCTTCTTCACGGCACCCACCCTGTGCTGGAGGTTCACACTTTAACTGTTTTGTCATATTTCGTCTTTCCACGGGTGGGTGCGCCTGGCAAAGCTGTGTACCCAAACTTAAGCACTCTCACTCTGACTAAACACATAAGGACATCCGGGTAAGACCTTAGTGCCCCTTAGTGCCCTTGGTACTCCATGTCATTAAATGAGCTCGGTAATGAACTGCACAACATCACATGGGTAAATGAGCTCCGTATTGCCCTGCAAAATCACATTTGGTGTATTTCCAAAAAGCTAGGAAAATACACCTATCTCCGTCATGTCCTGTAAAATATCATTCTTTGTTTATTTCCATCATTCAGGCAAATACACATATCTTTGTCCGCTCCAGGAGCTTCAAAGTGCAGACTCCTGAGCTCCGTCATGTCCTGCAAAATATCATTCTTCCGACTGCCAAGCACCGGCACGTGGACCCGGGGAGGAGGCCCTCCGATAGCGGGTCAAATTTGCTGATACCACAGCTGACGGCTGGACACTAGCCGTAGAGGAACACCAGGGCAGGACCAGGCAGTTCCCTCTTTGCAGACAAGCATATGTGGTTATTACGCAGGATCAAACAGGTAGCCTGTGATAAAATAGGGTTGACCCTATATCATGTGAAGCCACCGAGCCATGGTCCCCGAGGGAACTGGTGCCCGGAGCAAGGCCAATTGCTGAATGCCGCAGCCGACTAAGGCCGCTATGCAACAGTGGATGATTAGAGAGGGGGGGGGGGCTGGACAAAGGCCGTCGGGGGGCACCCAGGACCGGGCAGTGCTCCCGTTAGAAGGAACCGGGTGAAACGGGCCAAACCAGAAAAAAAAATTAAAATAAAAAGAACCAGGCAAAAGGGGTGAAAATGGAAAAAATGTATCCGAAAATAGTGTCTCATAAGGCGGGTAGAGTCCCCTGACAACTCTCCTTACATTCCTCCAGGTTCAGAAAAAGTCTGAGTTAACTTTTGGGAGAACCATAGAAAGGGGTGAAAATTGATAAAATGCATTCCTCCAGAGACCAGTTCAAGAACTTAAAGTTTGTTAAGAACCATGCTGGGGGGTCTCCATGCAACAATTGTATCCGAGCCAGAGCACACATGGAGCGGATGCATTCCTCCATGAACTGACACAGCCGATTTTTTTCTAAATGCTCTTAAAAACCGGGTTTCCGATATCGTGCAGATGGTAGCTTGAAAATGATGAACGAATTTTTTTGACGGAGGAGGGGAGGCCTCGATTCCCCTCTCCGTTGTAGAATGCAACGGGGGAGTGGAAAAGTATCCGGGGCTTCGGCCCGAAGCACCGAAGGGTTGAGTTTTTTGGAGCCCCTCCTCCGTTGGCACTTTTTAAACTTCATTTTTGATTATTTTAAGATATAATTGAGCGTTTTCTTTACTTTTTTCTTCTTTCCACGGGTGGGGGCGCATGGCAGGCCGCCTATGAGCTCCCAAATACGGCCTGGAACCTCCGGGAATTGTGGGCTAAGCTCCATAAACTGACAAAGTCACCTAGAAATGTCACTTTTATAGCCCAAAAATATATAATACAAATACATTTAAATAGTAAAAGCTACAATTGTGCTCCGAATTACCCGGAATTTGATTTATATAGCCCCATGATAGTGAATAAAAATAATCTTCATCGAAAAAAGTGTTAAAACGCCTGATTAATATGTTCGTAATGCTGGCAGCAGGTTCACTGCTGTTAGCAGGGTCTCACACTCACAGGCACCTATGCAGAGATCCAGGGTGATGCACAAGGCTTTTCTACCCAGCAATGAGTCTTTGAAAGCTGGGGAAAAGTGCTGTGAATACAGAGAGAGCACCCAGAGAGAAGCGGGGTGTGAGACTCACACACAGAGACACAGAGAGCTCCTTGCAGCACATGGCTCTCCCACCCAGACTGTACCCAGAGGACAGGCTGCTTCACAGCACTTTGTAACCCAGGAAAGCAGCTTGAATCCTGGGTAGATTAGTGTTAAAAGTGCATTAAACTGTTTTAATTCAAATGCACATTTGACTGCATAAACAGCCGGTCATATGGACAGGAAACTGTCCATTTCGTCCACATTTGACTCACGAAATGTACAGGAAACTGTCCATTTCGTCCACATTTGACTCATGAAATGTACAAGAAGATAAGTACAGCAGAGTCACTGTTGTTAGCAGGGTCTCACACTCACAGGCACACAGGCAGAGACCCAGGGTGATGCACATGGCTATTCCACCCAGCAATAAGTCTTTGAAAGCTGGGGAAAAGTGCTGTGAATAGAGGGAGAGAGCAGCCAGAGAGAAGCGGGGTGTGAGACTCACAGAGCGCACCCAGAGAGATCCTTGCAGCGCATGGCTCTTGCACCCAGACTGCACCCAGAGAACAGGCTGCTTCACAGCACTTTACAAGCCAGGAAAAGTGATTGAATCCTGGGTATACATGTTTTAAATAGTCTGATACCTCCAGGGCACATCACCGCATTTTACAAGCCAGGGAAGGTGCCTGAATCCTGGGTAAACATTGTTTAAGTGTTTTTAAATGTGTGAAACAGTGTTTCGTCACTTTCAAAACTCTCCTGTCATTGACCGGAGAAATTGGGTCGATGTTGTATTCAATCTGACCGTTAATATTCCAGTGAGACGAAGTACGTACAATGACCGGAGTGATCCCATGTTAATTTTGTCCCAAAACTGGAGCATTCCTTCACCCGTTGGAGGTCCTGCCGACTACTCTTCTGCCGGGGATTCTGCCAACCCTATGTCCTGTGCCATTGGGGGTCCAGCCAACACCTGTTTAGTCGGAGGTCCTGCCAACTCTATGTCCTGTGCCGTTGGAGGCCCTGCCGACTGCTCTTCTCCCGGGAGTCCTGCCAACCCTATGTCCTGTGCCGTTGAAGGTCCCGCCGACTGCTCTTCTGCCGGAGGTCCTGCCAACTCCATGTCCTGTTTCGTTGGGGGTTCCACTGGATTTCCTGCCAACACCATGTCCTGTCATGTTGGAGATCCCGTCGACACCAACTCTTGCTCCGTCCGGGGTCCCACTGACGCCGGCCCATGTTCCGTCCAGAGTTCCCTTCTACGCCTGACCCGCCAGGGGTTCCACCAGCTCCTGCCCATCCTTGTGCCCGGCCCCCTGAGTTCCCCAGCCGCGGTCTTCGCCCTAGAGCCCGGCCCCCTGAGTGCCGCGGTCTTCACCCTCGAGCCCGGCCCCCTGACTTTCCCGGCCGCGGTCCTCGCCCTCGAGCCCGGCCCCCTGACTTTCCCGGCCGCTGCCTTCTCCCTCATGCCCGGCCCCCTGAGTTTGCCCGCTGTGGCCTTCGCCCCTTTTTGAACTCTGCCTTGCCCCCGGGCCGTCCGCCCGAGACCCCCTCCTCGAACTCTGCCTTGCCCCCAGGCCGTCCGCCCGAGATTCCCACCATGAACTTTGCCTTGCCCCCGGGCCGTCCGCCCGAGACCCCCTCCTTGATCTATGCTTTGCCCCCGGGCCATCCGCCCGAGTCCCCCTTCTCGGCTTCTGCTTTGCTCCGGGATGTCCGTCCGTCTAAAATGTTTACTTTTTCCTCAAATTTTTGATTTTTTCTCAAAATTCTTTATTGCCATTTCTAACCTGTAGCTCAGGTGCATACAACAATACAAGTTTTGAATTTGAATATGATAAACATGTAAATAGCATATAAAATAGAGGAGCTGCAGCTGTGATTGGTTCATTTAATCAAACTCAATGTATCCTCTCTCTTGTTTCTCTTCAGAGCCGGTCAGACTGGTGGGAGGAACAGAGTCGCTGTGCAGGAGACCTGGAGGTGAAGCATCGAGGAGAATGGAGACCAGTGAAGAGCTCTCCCTGGACTCTGGAGGCAGCAGGTGTTCTCTGCAGAGATCTGGACTGTGGCTCTGCTGTTTCTGTGGGAGGGAGAAAGGAGTCCTCAAAGAGATCCGTTTGGAGGATCAGATCTGACTGTGTTGAGTCTGGATCTGCTCTGAGGGAGTGTGTAGCAGCAGGTTCCTCTTCCCGCTTCCTGACTCTTACATGTTCAGGTAGGCTCCTTTGACTTTTCCTTGCAAATTTTGACTTTTTAATAAAAATGTCACTTATTTCTCAAAATATAGATTTTTTTTTCTTGAATTTCGTTTTTTTTTTTTTACAAATTTGACGAATTCCTAAACATTTAACTTTGTCCTCAAAATGTTACTTTTTTTTTTCATTTGACTTTTTTCTCAAATTTTGAATTTTAAATAAATATCAAATAAGAAAATAGAAAGAAAAGATAAATAAAATATAATACAAATTTAAAAAGTAACTGTTTCTTTACCTCAGTTGTATCTTCTGTCCTCTGCAGACTCTGTCAGGCTGGTGAATGGGACCAGTCTGTGTTCAGGTAGACTGGAGGTGAACTCTAACCAGTCTAACCAGTCTGACCCGTCCTGGTCCTCAGTGTGTGAGGCTGACTTTGACCAGCAGGATGCTCAGGTGGTCTGCAGGCAGCTGGGCTGTGGGGCTCCTTCAGTCCTCCAGGGGGCGCTCTATGGAGGAGGGGAGGCTCCAATGGGGACCAAAGAGTTCCAGTGTGGAGGCCATGAGTCTGCTCTCCTGGACTGTAGCTCAGCCTCAGAGAGAAACACCTGCTCACCTGGCAGAGCTGTTAGCCTCACCTGCTCAGGTAGAAGATTCAAAGATTAAAAGGTTTTATTGTCATATGCACATAAGCTACAGTGTAGAAATGGCAATGAAATTCTCCTGACCTGAACTCCTTCAACAATATATAACAAAATACAGAAATAAAAAATACTGCAAGAAATCTATATACAACCAAAATTTGACTTTTTTTCTCCAAATGTAACTTTTTTTCTCAAAATGTGTCTTATTTCTCAGAGTTTTTTGACTTTATTGACTATTTTCATTTTTTCTTCCTAATTTTCTCCAAATGTTTTTTAACTTTTATTTGGGAATGTTATTGTTTTCTCCAAATGTGGCTTTGTTGAGGTTTCCTAATTGAGTTGAATAATTAAAACGAAAGGCCATATAATGAAATATAATCTTGTATAATCCACAATGAAAATGCATTATATCTCATGTTGTTCTATTCTCACAATATATACAAAATGTAAGTGGTTTGGAAAATTGAGTTTAACCTGTTAAGCCCGAGAGCCCCCGAATTGGGGTTCTTAGTAATTATTAACGTTCTTAACAGGGGCGGACTGGCAATCGGGACGTTGGGCCAGTACTGAAGTGGCCTGGTCGGACGATGTGGGCCGTTCGGATAAGTCACTAGCAACCCCCCCCTCCCCCCTGTCGACAATTTTACTTGCGGTACCGAAGTGGCCGTTCGAGAGTCCCTGGCTGATTTGTAGTCCCAGTCCGGCCCTGGTTCTTAATAAGAAACTCAGCTATCTGACGATACGAACCATTTTTACCAAAACAAAGTCTCACAAGAAGCGTCCAAATGAGCCCTGAGCGAAAAAATGCTAACACACACAGAACTCACGCTAAAAGACCCTTATTACTTATCGGATCAAGATATCAATTAGCAAGCTGAGATTCCACAGATTCTATAGGTATAAGTATCATCACTGTACGATCCAAACTCGCGACATGGGAAACAAAACCAGACATCACAACAAGTAGCATTACGGAGGAAACACGGCAATATGACTTACCTTTTGCTGTTTCTGATCAAAAGTTGTGTTCAATGGCATTAAAACGATAAAAACGCTGCTGAAGGTTAGTCCAGAGGGTAATCAATGTGTCTGTGTCACTTTGAAATCATTTCTGATAATCCATCAGCAATAAACCTAGCTTTCAGTTTTCAGATTTCAGAGCGTAAGATAGCTTTCGACTGCGTGCACTTAGCTTTCACTTCTCAATGGTAACGTGTGTGGAACTTTCCCTTCAATTCTATTGGCTCTAACAGTTCAAAAGAGATGTCAATCATCCAAATGGACCAATGGGTTCCAGATAAACGGCAAATACACCCACATCCACCCAAATGACCCCAAAGGTGTTTTCTTTTTTGCTAAACCACTCTAAAAAGGTCAAATGTCACTTGTTTTGCATCAATCTTGATACGGGGTCCTTATTTTATGTTATAGTTTGGATTCCTAAAGCTTTTAGTCTACCATCCCATCATTCAAGGGTGGTTTTCACTATAAGTAATGGTTTATTTTTGGACGGACACAATAATTTAAATGTTTTTACTATGTTCAATCTGAATTTACTTTAAAATAAAAAAAATCTATATTGATTCTGACTATTCTACATCCAGCTCACAGGTTTGTCATTGCTTTGAGAAAAAAGATTATTAATTTAACCCTTTTTAGAAGTTAAGTTATTATCATTTGTTCTGGGAATGTCATTTTCGAGCCTGAGACCTGAAAAACAGGCTCAGTGCTTAACAGGTTAAAGCCTGTTATAGTTTATCACTATGGGTGTCACTGTTTAGCAGAGGGGAGACCGTTTTCTTCACGTACAGCAGGCTGTAGAGAGCAGACCCCTGACTCAATGGAAAAGTACTGGAGCCCCAAAATGTGTTTAGGCCATACCATAGGAGACAAGTCTGGATATGTCCAGTCCCGCACACCAGAGGTCATGACCTTTCCCCACATATATGGGTAAGAAGGTGTGTCTTTGGTTTTCTGTCTGTAGTGTCTCTACTTTAAAGAGTCCTCTCCTGCTGATGTTCAGGTGTATATCAGTATGTATAGTGTCTCTACTTTAAAGAGTCCTCTCCTGCTGATGTCCAGGTGTATATCAGTATGTAGCGTCTCTACTTTAAAGAGTCCTCTCCTGCTGATGTTCAGGTGTATATCAGTATGCAGTGTCTGTACTTTAAAGAGTCCTCTCCTGCTGATGTTCAGGTGTATTTCAGTATGTAGTGTCTCTACTTTAAAGAGTCCTCTCGTGCTGATGTTCAGGTGTATATCAGTATGTAGTGTCTCTACTTTAAGAGTCCTCTCCTGCTGATGTTCAGGTGTATATCAGTATGTAGTGTCTCTACTTTAAAGAGTCCTCTCCTGCTGATGTTCAGGTGTATATCAGTATGTAGTGTCTCTACTTTAAAGAGTCCTCTCCTGCTGATGTTCAGGTGTATATCAGTATGTATAGTGTCTCTACTTTAAAGAGTCCTCTCCTGCTGATGTCCAGGTGTATATCAGTATGTAGCGTCTCTACTTTAAAGAGTCCTCTCCTGCTGATGTTCAGGTGTATTTCAGTATGTAGTGTCTCTACTTTAAAGAGTCCTCTCGTGCTGATGTTCAGGTGTATATCAGTATGTAGTGTCTCTACTTTAAAGAGTCCTCTCCTGCTGATGTTCAGGTGTATATCAGTATGTAGTGTCTCTACTTTAAAGAGTCCTCTCCTGCTGATGTTCAGGTGTATATCAGTATGTAGTGTTTCTACTTTAAAGAGTCCTCTCCTGCTGATGTTCAGGTGTATATCAGTATGTAGTGTCTCTACTTTAAAGAGTCCTCTCCTGCTGATGTTCAGGTGTATATCAGTATGTAGTGTCTCTACTTTAAAGAGTCCTCTCCTGCTGATGTTCAGGTGTATATCAGTATGTAGTGTCTCTACTTTAAAGAGTCCTCTCCTGCTGATGTTCAGGTGTATATCAGTATGTAGTGTCTCTACTTTAAAGAGTCCTCTCCTGCTGATATTCAGGTGTATATCAGTAGGTAGTGTCTCTACTTTAAAGAGTCCACTCCTGCTGATGTTCAGGTGTATATCAGTATGTAGTGTCTCTACTTTAAAGAGTCCTCTCCTGCTGATGTTCAAGTGTATATCAGTATGTAGTGTCTCTACTTTAAAGAGTCCTCTCCTGATGATGTTCAGGTGTATCTCAGTATGTAGTGTCTCTACTTTAAAGAGTCCTCTCCTGCTGATGTTCAGGTGTATATCAGTATGTAGTGTCTCTACTTTAAAGAGTCCTCTCCTGCTGATGTTCAGGTGTATATCAGTATGTAGTGTCTCTACTTTAAAGAGTCCTCTCGTGCTGATGATCAGGTGTATATCAGTATGTACTGTAGTGTCTCTACTTTAAAGAGTCCTCTCCTGCTGATGTTCAGGTGTATATCAGTATGTAGTGTCTCTACTTTAAAGAGTCCTCTCCTGCTGATGTTCAGGTGTATATCAGTATGTAGTGTCTCTACTTTAAAGAGTCCTCTCCTGCTGATGTTCAGGTGTATATCAGTATGTAGTGTCTCTACTTTAAAGAGTCCTCTCCTGCTGATGTTCAGGTGTATATCAGTATGTAGTGTCTCTACTTTAAAGAGTCCTCTCCTGCTGATGTTCAGGTGTATATCAGTATGTAGTGTCTCTACTTTAAAGAGTCCTCTCCTGCTGATGTTCAGGTGTATATCAGTATGTATAGTGTCTCTACTTTAAAGAGTCCTCTCCTGCTGATGTCCAGGTGTATATCAGTATGTAGTGTTTCTACTGTAAAGAGTCCTCTCCTGCTGATGTTCAGGTGTATATCAGTATGTAGTGTCTCTACTTTAAAGAGTCCTCTCGTGCTGATGTTCAGGTGTATATCAGTATGTAGTGTCTCTACTTTAAAGAGTCCTCTCCTGCTGATGTTCAGGTGTATATCAGTATGTAGTGTCCTCTACTTTAAAGAGTCCTCTCCTGCTGATGTTCAGGTGTATATCAGTATGTAGTGTCTCTACTTTAAAGAGTCCTCTCCTGCTGATGTTCAGGTGTATATCAGTATGTAGTGTCTCTACTTTAAAGAGTCCTCTCTGCTGATGTTCAGGTGTATATCAGTATGTATAGTGTCTCTACTTTAAAGAGTCCTCTCCTGCTGATGTCCAGGTGTATATCAGTATGTAGTGTTTCTACTGTAAAGAGTCCTCTCCTGCTGATGTTCAGGTGTATATCAGTATGTAGTGTCTCTACTTTAAAGAGTCCTCTCCTGCTGATGTTCAGGTGTATATCAGTATGTATAGTGTCTCTACTTTAAAGAGTCCTCTCCTGCTGATGTCCAGGTGTATATCAGTATTTAGCGTCTCTACTTTAAAGAGTCCTCTCCTGCTGATGTTCAGGTGTATATCAGTATGCAGTGTCTGTACTTTAAAGAGTCCTCTCCTGCTGATGTTCAGGTGTATTTCAGTATGTAGTGTCTCTACTTTAAAGAGTCCTCTCGTGCTGATGTTCAGGTGTATATCAGTATGTAGTGTCTCTACTTTAAAGAGTCCTCTCCTGCTGATGTTCAGGTGTATATCAGTATGTAGTGTCTCTACTTTAAAGAGTCCTCTCCTGCTGATGTTCAGGTGTATATCAGTATGTAGTGTTTCTACTTTAAAGAGTCCTCTCCTGCTGATGTTCAGGTGTATATCAGTATGTAGTGTCTCTACTTTAAAGAGTCCTCTCCTGCTGATGTTCAGGTGTATATCAGTATGTAGTGTCTCTACTTTAAAGAGTCCTCTCCTGCTGATGTTCAGGTGTATATCAGTATGTAGTGTCTCTACTTTAAGAGTCCTCTCCTGCTGATGTTCAGGTGTATATCAGTATGTAGTGTCTCTACTTTAAAGAGTCCTCTCCTGCTGATATTCAGGTGTATATCAGTAGGTAGTGTCTCTACTTTAAAGAGTCCACTCCTGCTGATGTTCAGGTGTATATCAGTATGTAGTGTCTCTACTTTAAAGAGTCCTCTCCTGCTGATGTTCAGGT